GAAGCCCCTTCCTGCATCCCCGTGTCCTTGCAGACTACCTGCTGAGCCGGGCGCAGGCGGCCCTGGAGTCCACCGTGGCGCTGGAGCAGGGCCACGCGCGCTACGTGGCCGCTGCTGCGGGTATGTCCCATCGCCCCAGCTTGCCTTGCACTGGCCCCAGACGTCGAGCCACGTTTCTGAGGTCTTGCTCTGGTTTTGGGGTGTTCCCGTGGGGCAGATACCGCCGGGCTGGTGGGTGCCTTGGCCCTCTTCTCCCACCTCACTGCTGACACCATCGTCAACGGCAGCGCCACGGCCCGCCTGGCTCCCCCGGACCGCGCCGACCGTGAGTGGGAAAGCGCCCGCTGGAGCTCGCTCTCCGTCATGGCCCCACGTGGGAGCCCCCCACGCTGCTGGCCCCACTGGCGTTGGTCCTGGATGTCCATCCTTCCTCCCTCTTCCCAGGGCTGACCGAGACCTGCCGCCGCTGCGGCCAGCGCAGCCTCGACTACCTGGGCGAGCTGGCAGAGCCACAGTTGCTGAGCCAGGCCGAGCTGGGCGGCGTGCGGACGGCGCTCCAGGGTGTCCTCCGGCTGGCACAGGTAGGAGCCTTAATAACTGCAGCATAAAACTGCCCAACTTTCAGAGATTTGGAAACCCCTTTTAGTCTTTTCCATTAAAATCCTATTAACTGAGAAAAAGCAGCTCTCCTGAGTCCTTTAGAGATCTGCCCACATCACACCTTGGAGGTATGTACCTGCCCCACAGTGGTGGTAGACCTGCTGGCTGCAGAACACTGGTCTCTCAGCTTAATTTATTGAGGAGGAGGAAGAGAGTCTAATACCTTGTGTGGGTTTCATTCCTCGTAACCACTCTTCTCTGCTCATTGCTGTCTCCTGCCCCCTTTGCCAGGAGCTGAGGCCCAAGAGCTTGGACATCAAGCAAGAGGAGCTGGGGGACATGGTTGAGAAGGAGATGGCCTCTACCTCAGCAGCTATTGAAGATGCTGTCCGGCGGATAGAGGTGACATGGGGTTGCTGGGCTCGTGCATTAACTCTGGTGACTGATGGTGCCTGTCTGTGACACTGGTCTGAGATGTCTCAGGCAGCGAAAGAGGCAAAACCATGAGCCCTGGGGAGCGAAATTTCCATTTATTTCCTGGCGCTTCCTTTTTTCTGCCTCTAGTGTGCCTAGTTAATGCTGTGACATGGTGTTGAGCATTTCCTCTTGCCTTTCTCCACAGGAGATGATGAGTCAGGCCAGGAACGAGAGCTCTGGTGTCCAGCTCGAGGTGAATGAGAGGTGAGTGAAGAGGGTTCAGATGGGTGTGCATGGCCAGCCTGCAACACCCTCATGTGTGTGTGGCCATAAAACCGCGCTGGCAAGTCATGTTTATGCAGCGTGTCCTTATGCAGTGGCTATAAAAGTGTGTCCTTATACCTGCTGGTCTGTTGAAGCCTCACCTGGTACCTCGTGCATTTTCTTGATGCTGAACATCTAAGCCAATTGACCGTGGCTTCTCCTTCTCTGTTGCCTTCTTTAAATACTAAATATTCTTCTCTTGTTTTCCTGCAGGATCCTAAACTCCTGCACAGAACTCATGAAGGTCAGTACTGCGGATAGTGGGCTTGTCGCAAAAACTGTGCAAAACTCTGACTCATCTCCATTGGCAAGATCAACCCGTCAGTGTGACACCTTTATCAAACACGAGAATCCGTTTTTTGTTGATCCAGGCAATTCGGCTTCTTGTGATGACATCCACAAACTTGCAGAAGGAGATAGTAGAAAGTGGCCGGGTAAGTTCTCTCCTCCGTTCTTCTGTGTGTACTGCTCTGAAGTATGGGAGAATTTTGCACAATCTGCAGAAACATTAGCTGGTTTCACACTTTCTGGTGTTAATGGTAATGTGGGAAATGTCCTCAATGAGGACAGATAGCTCCGTGCTGAGCAGCTCCCACTCTTGCGTTTTGTCCTTTTCGAGATGCTGTCCAAAAGTCCTGCCTGCTTTAAACAAAACTGGCAGAGTCGGGAGCTCTAAATCAAGACTTCCCAACCCAAATCTGAGCTGACCAGTACAAGCAGCTTGTAGAGTGCTGAAACACACAACTGAGGTTGATTTATAGCTCCTTTCCAAAGCCAAAAGATTGGGAAAATGTCATTGCTTATGCTGCACACTTGGACCGCTGCCACCCAGAACATCTTGCAGGACCTACAACCCACTGCTAGAACTAGGCTGCTCCAAATCTGTTTTAATGCATTCATGGTTATATTTGTGGCTCTTTGGAAATTCTGAGGATGAAAGGCCTGGTGGCTGGGCCTTAATGTTCTCGTGACGACAGGGGGCAGCAACGACGCAGGAGTTTTACGCCAAGAACTCGCGCTGGACTGAGGGGCTCATCTCGGCCGCCAAGGCGGTGGGCTGGGGCGCCACGCAGCTCGTGTAGGTACCGGCCGCCTCGGCTCCGTGCGTTCCGTCCCCCACGCACCCGTTCCGGGGTGCGGGCGGTTATGGAGGAGGCTGCCATGGGGGACAGGCGACTCGTCCCGGTCTCCGGTACCATCCTGCTCGCTGTCCGCCCCGCAGGGACGCGGCCGACCGCGTGGTGCTGCACACGGGCAAGTACGAGGAGCTCATCGTGTGCTCGCACGAGATCGCCGCCAGCACGGCACAGCTTGTGGCTGCCTCCAAGGTACCTCCGTTCGTCCCCAGGGTGGTGGCTGTCGAGCTGGGGCCACGCACCGGTGGTGACGCGGGGCTCTCTGCTCCGTGCAGGTGAAAGCCGACAAGAGAAGCCGGAACCTGGGCAAGCTGCAGGAGGGCTCACGCGGCGTCAACGAGATGGCCGCCAACGTGGTGGCCTCCACACGCTCGGGCCAGGAGCAGATCGAGGAGAAAGGTGAGATGTTGGCAGGGCAAGTGGGTTTGCGTGGAAAGCGGTGCCGTCGCTGCTCGCCTCACTGCCCAGCCTCTCGTCCCCACAGACACCATGGACTTCTCGGGCATGTCCCTCATCAAGCTGAAGAAGGAGGAGATGGAGGCGCAGGTGAAGGTGCTGGAGCTGGAGAAGCGGCTGGAGGGCGAGCGCCGGCGCCTGGGTGAGCTGCGGCGGCAGCACTACGCGCTGGCCGGCCCCTGCGGTGAGGCCGAGGACGCCGAGGCCCGGCCGGCACCGGCACCGCGTCGCGGCATCCTCAAGAAGCCGCCGCTGGCCCAGAAACCTGGGCACCTGCAGAAGCAGGACGAGGTAGGGCCAGCAGCACAGTCAACATAGCAGGGTGTATGTATGCCTGTGTATAAATATATTTTAAACCCCACACATTTTATATATAAAACTGTATATAATATATGCAATATATATAAAAAAGCTACATATAATTTATAAAATATGAAATGCATAAAATATATAAACTATAAAATTTGGCTATATTATGTAATATATTAAGACATTATATATAATGTCTATGTACAGGTACATGTAACGTATATTTTAATCTAACATATACATGTAATTTATAAAAAATATGTAAAATTATATAAAACAAGCATGTTATGTTTGATGTAGATATAAAATGTTAATAAAATACATGCTATATGTGAAATATATATACTAGATAGATATATGTATGTTATAGATATATACTATATTTTACATATAGTATATAGTATATATATATAACATACATAAATATATATATTTATGTTTTCCCCCACCCTCTTCTCTTTGCAGCTGGAGCAAGATGCTGACCTCTTTCAGGCTCACGTTATAAACTTCTAGGGTGTGTGGAGGGACGGGATCTGCACCGTGGGCACCTGGGTCTCCTCGCTGCACCACGAGCGGGCACGGGGCAGAGCCAGAGGCTTCCTGGCCCCCCTCTCTTACGTCTGTGTTTTAAACAGACGCTGCTGGGGATGCCACTGGCCCGGGATCCCAGGATTTTGGTTTTTCCCTCTTTTGTACACCCGCTGGCTCTCAGCAGGCCACGGGGCACCTCGTCGCTGCAGCGGCCGTGCTGGCCTCACCGGTCTGCCTGCATGCGGCCTCTCGGAGCAGCTCTCCCTCCTTAATTTAATATGGGGTTGGTTTGGGGTGATTTCTTATTTCTCTTTTTATTTTTTCCTTAATTTTATCAGCACTAGGACTTTCCAGTCAATGTAGCTCTCTACTGTACCGCTCGGAGCCTTTTGAAGAAATGTGAAATGTTTTTAATGTAGGGAATTTTTGATCTTTTTTCTTGCAACTGTTTTTTTAATTACCCTCTTTGCAGCCTGAGGAATAATTTAACTTGGTTTCTCATGGGGTTGGTTCTCCAGGAGAGAGGGACAATTTTGCTTTACCTGGCGCAAGGACCAGGGCTTTTGTAAGGGAAAAAAAAAACAGAGCAGTTACCAGCACACACTGGCAATAAGGAGACAAACTTTTTTTTTCCTTTTCTATTTTTTATTACTACAGCGATGTCAGGGGATCAGTTTCGTTATGTTTTATATTTAAGATAATTAGGAGAAGTAAATATAACTGTGGCCTATGTGAACCATGGGATCTTAGAAGTCGGGAAGTCTGCAGCAATAAAGAATTTGTGTCTGGAAGAGACGCTTGGGTATAAGAAAAATACTGTATCTTCTCTTTGAACTGCTACCACACCATAGATTATTAAAGCAGCATATTTAAAATACATCTCCTGTCATGGTGCATGGTGGAGCATCAGTGTTGCCTTAGGGGGTATTGGGGGCTGGAGGTGCTCAGATCGAGGGTGGGGGCAAGCAAGGCTGCAGGAATGGAAAACAGGGGGTTGTGTTAACCCCATCTGGTCCTGCTGGAGGAGTCCCAACCCTCGCCTCCCCATATTCCCTCAGCCACCGTAATTGGGTCACACAGAAGGGCTGAGGGTGGAAGGGACCGCTGGAGATCATCTCATCCAACCTTCTGCTCCAGCAACAACACCTGGAGTGTGTGGCCCAGGATCCTGTCCAGGTGTCTGTCCACAGCCCTAAGGCTGGACAGGCTGTCCCAGGGCTCTGTCACCCTCACCGTGAAGTGGATAGGATCCCCCAACGCTCCTCCCTGCTCCAGGTTGTGCAGGCCCGGCTCTCTCAGCCTTTCCTCACAGGAGAGATGCTGCAGGCCCTTAATCATCTTAGCAGCTGTTGCTGGACTTGCTCCAAGAGCTCCATGGCTCACTTTTATGGAAGAAACCATTATTAAAACAGGACTCAGTTCTCCGATGTGATCTCTCTAGGGCTGAGCAGAGAGGAAGGATCACCGTCCTTGTCCTCCTAATCACATTCTGGGGTGCGTTGGCCTTGTTGGCCACAGGACACACCGCTGGATCATGGTTTACTTGCTGCCCACCAGGACCCTCAGGTCCTTCTTGCCTCTCTGCAGAGCTGCTCTCCAGTCGCCAAGGAGCGTTTGCACCACTCAAAGCCACTCTCTGAGCTCTGCCTTTCAGCCAGTTCTTGATACACTCCCACCGTCTGCTCAGCTAACCCACACGTCCTGATCTGGCCATGAGGATGCTACCCGAGACAGGGATGAAGGCCTGGCTGCAGTCATGGTAGCCAACGTCAGCTGCTCCCCCCACCCCTGCATCCACCCAACCCACCAGACAGTGGCCAGGTTGGGTAAGTGTCATTTTTCCAGGAATACCAGGGTGGCCAACTGGCCTGTGGGTCTCTGGGGCCATCTTGTCATTCTCTTTTTTCACCTAGTGTGGCTGGAGCACTGCCACGGACGGGGAGATGGGCTGATCTGTGGCACACTGAGTGACAGGCCCTGCGTGAAGCAAGGGCTGCTGCGGGGTCTATGTATATGTACACACACAGCATGATAAATACATATATGGCATATACAGGCCTATGTGCATGTAAATATACACATATACATGGGTTTGGGGCAAGGGCGTGTGCATACATCCTATGTGTTAGATTATATAAAACATGTATACATATCTGTACATTATATATTGTGTGTATATAGGTATCAACACATTTGTATGTGTGCACATGTGTGGTTATGCATGCATAATATAAACATGTATGTGTATCTACACACACACGGGTTTGGGGCAAGGGTGTGTGTAGGTATATGCGTGTGCACATAGGTATATAACTGTATTCATCATGTGTGTCGTATATAACATACACACGTAAACATATATGTACATAATATAGAGTATGTGTGTTTGTGTACATGTATGTACACATGCATTTATGTGTGTAGCCCCCC